TGTGGACTCCTCCATTTCCTCTGTTTTTTTTTTTCTGTTTCCAGTTTGCTGTCCTCCTAAGGCAGCATTTCTCCCTGCTTCCCAGCTCTTGGCCCTGTCCCTCTTCCTTCATTGCCTCCTCCTTTTCCCTCCCCTTATTTCTCAGCTGACCTCCTTTCCCTCCTTTTTTCAAGCTGTGCAAGGCAAAGCTTGCTTTCCTCTATATCCTATATCTCCTGATCTCTCCTTTTATTTTCATTTAGTTTTCTAGCAGCCCACATAGCAAGCAGCTAAAAATAAGTTCTTTCACGATTCATAGTTACTCCCTACAAACACAATCATATATCAAAAATATCATAAAGAATACTTAAAAGCTTCCAAAAAATTAGACAAGAAAAGAAATTAATAAATGAAGAAATATTATAGTTTAAATATTGGTTTAACATTTAGCGTCACAATGGGTTAGCAATATTGTAATTTAAATTTGCTTTTCACGAATAAAATTTCACTTGTTCTATTTTTTTTCTTTTCAAATTTTAAACACAAAAATAACGTAAATAGCTCAAATAAAAATAATAAACTAAGTAAATAGTGAGTGAATTCCTAAAAAATATTATAATAAATAAATGATCCGATCAAAAACTACAACTTAAATTTAGAGATTACAACTTCAATTTAAAGACTACAACAACTTAAATTTAAAAACTACAACTTAAATATTAAAGACTACAACAACTTCAATTTAAAGACTACAACAACTTAAATTTAAAAACTACAACTTAAATATTAAAGACTACAACAACTTCAATTTAAAGACTATAATCATCATCTTCATCCGCCATTGTAGGAGTATAGTCGGATGTAAACAACTCCCGTCAGACCATAATTTCCCTTTTTTTACTATCAAAATATGCCTTACTCATTGAAGTGTAGTTCGAAGTGTTTCTTTGCATGTTCCTATCATCCATCTCTTCTTATATTTGTTTTGCCCGTTCTTTGTGCCTAAAGTTCCTTTCTTCCGCAGCAAAGGCATTTTGCTCCGCCATTAATCGCAATGAGAATGCCATTTCCTGTTGAAAGGCTAAATCATCCTTTGCCTTTCCTTTTTCCTTCAATTTTCAGGCCTTGTTTCATCCCGTAGCCTTAGGTATGGAAGAGGCACCCGGAGACGGATTTTCTACCATTGTTTCTTGAATGGCAGGAGATCCTTGTTCATCCCCAACTACATTTGAGGAAACATTTTCGAACACTAGCGTAGGACCAGATCTTTCTTAAAATGGATCTTGAAATAACACCCACCATTTACAAATTTCCCAACAACCGTGATGACTAAAGGGTTTCGAGTTGTCCTCCATATACAATTCCTCCAATTGGCGTACCTAGAATATATATTTACAAAATTTAAAAAATTAATTATAAAATTAAATATTTAAATATTTAAAATAATTTAAAAAAATATTTAAAATAACTTGTGAAAACACTGATTATGTAGTAGTAATTGGCTCCGTTTTCATGTCTACTTTCGACCTTTACCACTGCTTGATGTCATTTATTCAAACTTGGATGAAGATATTTTTTCCATCTTGAAGAACAACTCTCGTGGTTTCGGATATTCAGTGTAGTGGTGCTTTCGTAGAACTCATAATACTTTTTGGATGTACGATTCAAAACACCTTCACTTGTTTGAGAACTCCCCTTGACACTATCTTATGAGACCTATCTATAAGCCCTGCAAAGAGCTTCATCTTCTTTTCAAGCCCAACCCCTTCCTTTCATTGCTGATGTCACGCGCCGATCCTGACATACTTCTGGAATTGACATGTGACACCAAATACCCATATATCTCACATACCCATCCTCTGGGATATGGACAAAACAAAACTCAAGATTCGAATTGCATAGTTTTTTTTTTTCGTATACTTTATGGCTGCATCTAACCTTCTTGTTAGACTGCCTGCGTACCCTAAATAGGGATCAAGTCAGTCGTAGTTCACCAGTTCAATAAACTCCTATTACTACTGCAAGACATTCCTACAAACATGTAATCGGAATAACTATTACAAAATATATGCTTTCTATGTACAGCTTGTCTAGGCATATGAGAAATATATACATATAGCTTCACAACGTGAATCATCAACTTGATTTTGGTTTCAGTTTAGGCATGCGTATAGATATTTATGTTGAATGGGACATCTTTCTACCATTTAAGCAAACAACATGACACATATAAAGGTGTAGCACTTAATCGGATAGTAATCTTACCAAATTGGGTCAGTCCACTATTGATATCTATACAAGCCATGACATTACTAACCAATACACTTTAGATATAATTGTAATCAATCAACTACTATAAGCATACCCCTTTCAAATTGTATACCAAAATACAAAGCCAATGGTACATATAAAAGCAACAATATAACTATAATCTAATGATAACTAGCTGGACTAGTTATAGCAAATAGAATGGTTCATTAGAACTAACCCAATTGGAGTATATAATGAAATTGAGTGAGGAAAATACGTATGATTTGATACATAGGCAGATAGAACTAGCTGCATCCATTTTCTCTATATAAGTAGTTATGTATTTAGCATATAATTGTTTGAAAACAACCACCTCACATAGAATCCAGTACATTTATAACTTCACTAAATTTGATTACATTTATTTACACTAATTAATCAAATAAGCATGCCAAACAAATCATAAGAACCTGACCTGCCATATTAAATTGGTCTTGAACTCAGAACATAGTTATACTCAATTAGAGAATAGGTATAATGTTTGTTATCAAGGAACTAGTTCTCAGGCCATAGAATAACAAGCAATCCCTAAACTATAACATTCGAATAATTATTCGTAACTAGTACACCAGCCAAACCATATCGATGATTCTTAATAATTAACATAGAAAACCAAACTGTTTATTCAAGTACCTTAAAATAAAAATATAAATTCTTAGCAGTCTTAAGCTATTCATCCACTGAAAGAATGAAATAATGAACCAACAATAAATCAATGACCAAAACCAAGAGTCATATACTACTCTAGTAATAGCTTTGTCCAATCAAGTATTTAGCATCAGCATCTAACAATGCCATGGAAAAATATAGAACCGCTCACTAGTTTTAGAACTCTAATTATCTACACAACTCTAGGCTACAACACATAAAATTCAACAATGTTCTTCATGGGTAGAACAAATATGGCACATAAAATATTCAAATGTATCTGGCCTTGATTATGGAATAACATTAATACTTATAAAACAAACCCAACCCTTAAATTTCTAAAGAGAACCGAATTGAGGTTAGGATTTCAATGTTCTTCCCTATATATGCAACCAATCATGACTACCTGGTTCCAATTCAACTCCTAAACAATACAACAAGCATCATCTCAAATATGCATACAAAATATCGAATTAAAATTCGAAACCATGAATTGACCCCAAAACTAAAAGTTAAAACCTTGGGAAAATACTTACGCTAGAGGAGAGCCCACAAAGGAAGAATCGTTAATTTCACTTGGGTTGAGGCCAGATTCCAGCGGGATTGGCCGAAATTAGAGAAAAGTCGCCGGAACACGTCAATATGTTTGGACCTCGTTTTCTTTATACATTGGTTTTCAAGGGGTGGGTATGGTAAGATTAAGACGGATTTGCTATGAAACTATAGCTTTCGACCTCATGTGATTTCGTTATCGTATGAGAAAATTATGATGAAAATAGTTTGAAAGGGATCTCTTGAGTGAGGGAGGAAGAAGAAGAAGAAGAAGAGGCTTTTGCCGCCTTCTCCCCTTTTTCCTTTCTTTCCTTTCTTTTCGTTTCTTCCCGATTCTTCTCCACCTCTCCTCTTTTCTTCTTTCTTTATTCTTTTCTTCTAACATTAATATTTTAAATCTAGTGCTATTATCTTTTCGACTACTTTAAATAAAATGATTTATACGTGTTTTGTAAACTCTTTTTTCTAGTTCTAATTTTCGTTATGCTTATGATCAGTCGTTCATAATAACGAGTGTTGTTAGAATATACTAATTAATATGTTACACGTGTTTTGACCAGTTAGTAAATGAAAGTCGACATACCCTCTAAGGGCATTTTGATCGTTTCATTTTTTTTATATAAAATCATGGATGGGTTGTAACAGCTGATGTGGCCATTTGAAAATTATTGAAAAAATTGAAGAAAAGATTTTTGGAAGAGGTAAGAGAATAGAATGTGAAAAATTAAAATAAAATGAGGTAAGATAGTATGGAATGATAAAAATTATGTGAGAAATGGTGTAGGAATGATTTAGGTACTTATAAGAAACAAATTAGAATATTTTTTTTTTTTAAAAATTTGTCAAAAAAAAAATATTCAAATGCAACGGTAACTTGACGTCAACTAGCCGTTGCTAGCTGGAGTTATGTTAACGCTAGGTAGCCATTGCAGTTCAAATTTTTGGGCCTCCTAGGGCTGGCTGCCTGGTTGGAATGCCAGTTGGCTTGATTTAAGATTTTTGGCCCAATGGGGCCCACAAGCCAGTTGGCCTAACCCACGATTGGAGATCCTTTTTCGTGTCATTTCGAGTTATTTTTAGCCCTATGATCCTTTGACCGGGTCGGGAGATGACCTAAGTAAATTGTTTAACTTCCTTTGCCTCACCACGTTCGAGCTCGTTGATGGATCAGCGTCCATGGCCATGCCGACAGCTTGCCATGTATGGACAACGACGACTTCGGTGAGAAAATCCCAAAAGCGACTTCGAGGACGTCCCCGTGTCCATTGTCGACGTCAATCTCTTCCAAGCCACTTTTATCTTCCACTTTTAATTATTTAGTCATTATTTAAAAAGAAAAAGGAGGAATGTGTATGGAAACAAAAATCAAGGGTCCACTGGTTACAGGAAGGGGATGCCAATACAAAGTTCTTTCATCAGTCTACTTTACAAAGAAGAAGGAGGAATAAGGTGGTAACTCGGAGTGGGTGGATAATCCTGATCAGGTTCGTAGGCTGTTTGATGAGCACTTTATGGATCTATTCTCTTCTTCGGGACATAGGGACTGGGGTGGCATCCTTGACTGCATCATACCTAAGGTTTCGGAAGAGATGAATGCTACATTATCGACTCCGGTTTCTGCGGACGAGATAAAACAGACTGCTTTGAAAATGGGTGGTCTTAAAGCCCCAGGCCCTAACAGTTTCCAAGGCATCTTTTATAGGTCACAGTGGGATATTATAGCTGTGGATGTAAATAAAATGATTGAGGATCTAATGGTTGGGTCTTTACAACCTTTGCAAATCAATGCGACTCACCTGGCTCTAATTCCAAAAGTTCCAAACCCGGAGTCTGTGTCTCATTTTCGCCCCATCAGCCTCTGCAACTTTTCTTACAAAATTCTATCCAAGGTCCTGGCTAATCGCTTAAAAAGCTTTCTGCCGGATCTGATCTCTCCAACCCAAAATGCTTTTGTGGAAGGTAGACAAATTCAAGACAACATTGGTATTGCGCATGAGCTATTCCACTTCCTTAAAACAAGAAAGACGAAATGCAAGCTGGAGTTGGGAATTAAACTGGACATGCATAAAGCTTATGATAGGGTGGAATGGGACTTCTTATTGGCAGTTATGGAGAAGATGGGCTTTGATCGTCATTGGAGAAATTTAATCCTGGGGTGTATTTCCACTGTTAGTTTCGCCATTCTCCTAAATGGTCAACCTGGCCTCGGTTCGCTCCTTCTCGCGGGCTTCGCCAGGGGGATCCCCTGTCCCCATATCTCTTTTTGCTGGTCAGTGAGGTGCTATCTCTTCTTATTAAGCAGGCGGGTGAAAGAAAATAGATTGAAAGGGTAAAAATGGGCCTTGCCGGTCCCATGATCTTTCATATATTTTTTGCTGATGATACTCTGATTTTCATGAAGACGGATGAGAGAAATTGTAGGAATTTAATTCAGGTAATGGATGAGTACTGCTTGGCTTTGGGACAACAGGTCAATAAGTCAAAATCCAGTGTTTACTTTGGGGGAAATGTACCGAAGTCTCTCTCAATCCAGCTAGCTACCATTCTTGGTATGGAAATAGTTGGGGATCCAGGATTGTACTTGGGTGTTCCAGCTATTTGGGGTAAATCTAAAAAGAACGGACTTGCTTACATCAAAGGTCGTCTGTTAGGAAAAATCCAAGGTTGGAAGCGTACTACTCTCTCTCAGGCGGGGCATGAAATCCTTATCAAGGCAGTGGCGCAAGCAATTCCGGCGTATCCTATGAACCTCTTCAAATTTCCTTCGACTCTTTGTAATGAACTTGATGCTTTGATATCGAAGTTTTGGTGGGGTCAAAAAGAGGGCGAGAACCGTATTCATTGGGTCTCTAAGGAAATATTGGGCCGATCAAAACAAGATGGTAGACTTGGTTTGCGGTGCTTCACAGATTTCAACGATGCTCTTTTGGCAAAGCAATGTTAGAGGTTGTTATCGGAACCAAATTCTTTGTGGGCGATGGTGCCTAAAGCCCGATACTTCCCTAATTGTTCTTTCCTTGATGCAAAACGGGGAGGAAGAGCTTCGTGGGCTTGGTCAAGTCTCCTTGTTGGAAGAGATATTATTCTCGGAGGTGCACACTGGCAGATTATGAATGGCAAAGAGGTTCGGGTATGGGTGGACAGATGGCTTCCTTCAATCCCCTCAGGAAGACCTTCTTCATTGGGTACGGTTCCAGTCTCTAGGAATTTGAGGGTCAACTCTTTGATTTGTAATGAGTCTGGGGATTGGGAGGTTGATTTCTTGAAACCTTTTGTGGTGGAGGAAAAGATCAAGGCGATTCTGAAGATCCCTTTGGGTGATCCAACCTTAAAGGATAGATTGGTGTGGCCTTTCGAAAAAAAAGGAGCATACTCGGTAAAATCTGGTTATCATTAGGCTTTGTCCAGGACCCATATTCACAGGAATGTCAACCCGCATAGGTCTGATATGATACCGAATCAGTTATGGAAGTGCATGTGGAATTTGGAGGTTCCTCCAAAAATAAGGGTATTCATGTGGAAGTCTCTTCATGCGGCAGTGGCAACGATGGCAAACCTGTTCTTTAGGCGCTCTTCTCATTCCCCCATTTGCCTTCTCCGTAACTCGGCTGAGGAATCAACGGAACATCTTTTTCTCCAATGCCTGTGGGTAGAGGCGGTGTGGAATGGGGGAAGTATGACTCGCGGTATTGGCCGGGAGGGGATAATTTCTTGGGTAAATTGGTTAAATGATATTTATGATGCGGCTTTTGCTAACAGGGGTGAAAGGATCAAACTGTTCTCATATATTGCTGTTACCTGTTGGCATATTTGGAAGTCTCGGTGCAACTTTATCTTTAAGCAGCAACCAATTTACCCAGGGCAGGTTATCGCCGATGTTCATCATTCGGTGGGTATGTTCCTAGAGGCCAATCGTGTTCCAAGTAGTAGGCCCCGGATCAATGATTTGGATCGGGGAAATGACTTATCTTGGTCTCCTCCTGGCTCGGGTATCATCAAGATAAATGTGGACGCAAGTTGGAATGCTAGGGAGAGTGTGGGCTTCGTGGGTGTGGTGGCTAGGGATGATCATGGCAGGTTTGTGGCTGCATGCAGAAAGAAGATCTGTGCCTCGAGTGCGGTAATGGCTGAAGCTAAGGCAATTTTGCATGGCTGTTCGTTGGGGCGGTATATGGGGTGGAATGATATTATCATTGAATCAGATTCTTTGGACTCTGTGTCTTGTCTTCAGGATCTTAATTCGATGGGCAGTTGGGATGCTTTTCCTTTGCTAGCTAAGTGCACAAGTCTGGGGAAGGCTTTCCAAGATTGCCGCTGGTCTTGGGTTCCAAGATCGGCCAACAAGGCAGCGGACAGTTTGGTGTCGTGGCAAAGTAGGGAAGTATGTGATTTTGTTTGGGTTAACCGACCCCCATCTTCCCTTGTTCATGTTCTGTGTAATGACGGCCTCCCTTGTCCCCATTAGGCTTGTAGGTTTGGTGCAAGGAGTGACACTTTTAGCATTTGATGCGGTGTCAGATGTTTCCTCCTTGTACTTCGTTTCTTGCTTGGTCGTAGCTGGCCTGTTTGCTTTGTTGTAAGCTTTCTTGTTCTCTTTGGCATCTCTGCCCGGGTAATGCATTATCTCGTTCACCAAAAAAAAAAAAAAAAAAAAAAAAAGGATCCCCACCGGATCCATTATGTGGGGGATCTTAAGGATCCCCACATCTCAGTCGTCGACTGTGTATCGCGTGGTCAGAAATTATTTAATTTTATTATTTTAAATTAAACATAAATAGTACCTGATAAAAACTGACCGCACAATACACGATAAATGGCTGACATGTGAGAATCCCCCACATAATAGATCCGCAGGGTATCCTTTTCCGTTTTAAAATTATGGTAAAAGCGGGAGCCTTTAGACTAAAGTAATGATTAGGTATAGGATTCATTCATTGCGTGTCATATTAGAAGTCTGTTTGGTGCAAAAAAATTTCAAGACTATTTAAGTTACTGCTTTTCAAGTCATCACGTACTCTTTTTCCTCCTATTTCCAACCCCTCCTCTCCATCGTATAGTGCTTTTTGTCGTAGAGCCCTTTCTCTCTCTGTGATCGTCGATTGGAAGGTATGTCTGAGTTGTGGGTCTTGTAAATTAGTCTCTGTTGTTCGATATTCCGTCTAATGATATAGATTTGTTTACTGTTTATGGGTTTAAGTTCGCGAGCTTAGCTTGGATCATCAACAATGGAGAATCAGCAGAAAGTAGCAGGGGAACTTGTCACTAGGTCATTCACATGGACAATCGAAAATGTCTCTAAGTTGAAAACCCAGAGGCATTACTCTGACGTTTTCCTCGTCGGTGATTGGAAATGGTAATTTGAATTTTGTGCATCCCCTCCTGTAAATATTTAAATCGCTTCGAGGTTGTAGATGAATTATTGTTGGTTTCGGGATTAATTGATTTCATTGGTTGGTTTGATCAGGCGGATCCTTGTATTTCCGAAAGGGAACAACGTAAAGCACTTGTCTTTGTATTTGGAGGTTGCAGATGCTTCGGATTTACCATCTCTGTGGACTAGGTATGCCCAATTCAGCTTGACAGTGGTTAATCAGCTAAGCAGAAATATGTCAATAACAAAGGGTATTTTCTCCGTTGTTCATTTGGGTTGATTTCGCATTTACGCTTGCTTTTTTCTTGTCTGTTTTCTTTTCATTTTGTGCCCAATTCTGCTTGAATGTGGTTAATTTGTGAACTGGAGATTGCGATTCTTGCATCCGGTTATTGAGGCTCTGCTTTGATTCAGTCGTGATTATTGGTTGTGATCGCTAATAGGCACCCTGTTACCGTATTTGTAGTTTTTTCCTGCAAGAAAGAAATAGGTACCGTTCAACTTTGTTAATAAACAATAGTCAGTTCACTTTAGGATATGGGGCTTCGGTTGTAGTTAAAGTTTTACACTTGTTTGGAATCAGGGACTTGAGGGAAAAATTAAACAAGAGGAAGTATGCAATTTTGCTTCCCTTTTTCGTTATGGGGAAACCATTAGTTAGAGAGAAAGAAGAATTGTCACTTTTATTGTCCAAGAACCAATAGAAGGGAGATTTCTTTTGAAGAAAATAATATAATTTTGAGATGGATTCATTCAATGGTTAAGTTCAGAAGGAAATTTTATGTTTCCACTTACGTGTTTGAATACCTCTACATGTATATATGGTCTTGGGTTTGGTTGTGTTAAAATTAGGAATAAGCTTCCTTTGCTGTTGTTTTTTTTTTTAGTTCTTGGTTGGTTATGAATACTTTGTCAATTAAGTGTTTCTGTGATCCTTCATATTTTGATTTTGCAGAGACGCAACACGAGTTCAATGCAAGTGCGAGCGACTGGGGATTCACATCATTCATGCCTCTGAATGAGTTTTATGATGGAGGAAAGTTTGTTCGCAACGATAAATGCATTATTGAAGCCAGGGTTACAGTCCGTAAGGTAGACATAAAGAATTTCGAAGACCAAGGAACTGGCAGTTCTGCACCCAAAGAGCCTTCAAAGCAAGAAGATCGGGCCCTGAAACCTTCAAGTGTGGATTCCGTGCAAGTTCCACACTCATCCGTACCAGTTACAACACCTACATCAGAACAGGTGCAAGCAAATTTGAAATCGGAACAGGTGCTTGCTTTCAAGGATGCACCAAGTTCCGGAGAAGTTTGCATTAAGCCTGCTGATTTCCCTGTTGACCCTTCCATAGTCAAGGGACACGAAAAAGTGCTCTCCGCTCCAGATGGTATGCTCATGGATTTTAGGGGTTTAGGGAAAATAGAGAGAGCTTTTGTTCCACTGCTAGAGGAAGTTTGTTCATGGCATCCCTCGTTGATTGAGTGCCAAAAGAAGAGAAGCCGTACGTATATTGAATGGGCATTCACAGCTTTGGGTCGAGTTTTACATTTTCTGAAGACTACGAAGGTGAAGGATATGACCCCAGACACTAGTGAACGCGTTAAACTTTTGTGGGAGGAGCTTGAGACTTTTAAATTTGACTTGGGTTGGCTGGAGCCTTATGTGCAATCTGCTCTGGACGTGAAGAAGCTTATGGAAAGGGCAGGGGTAGTTAAAAATCTGAGAGAGGATGTGGATGCGTTGGAAATGGGAGTGAAGAGGCTAAGGGCGAGGCTAGCAGTTGCAGAGGTAGATCTAGAGGTAGCAAAAAGAGACTTGGCAAAGGTAGTAGAAGGCTTCGGTGAGACCGATATCAACAGGGAGTTGGGCTATGGGAGGCGTTGACCTTATTTGAGAAACATCTCGTTGATATTACAAAGTGATGTGCAATATCTCCAACACATTCCAAACTAATATGTATTAAGCACTTGCGTTCTAGTTGTGTTATCAGTATTTTATGATATTTCAAGAATATTATAGCAAGTGGGAATTCTCTTCTTTTGTTTTCTTGTTTGGAATTGAGCACAATATATAATAGTTTTTAAAATTTTAGACGAAACAATAGTGTCTCAAACTCTCGTATAACTTAGGCGCAACTTGTTTTGTGTTTGAAAAATAATTGTACAAGTATAGTGTAAGTTGTATAACTCACCTGACTATGCGTAGCCTTTCATCGTATACGGCCTCTGAGGTGTATACGAATTGATCGGCAATATCTCCTCGTGACACGGTGTTGTTATACGGAGTTTATATTCAGCTCGTTAATGATATACTCCGGCTTGTACCACCACGCTGCAACATAAGTTCACAACCCAACATAGTAACAGTATTAGCTTCAGATGTAAACGGTAAAACAGTAAAAGAAGGTAACACTTTCACCTCACAACTGACAACTATCAATATTAGGTTTAGTCACGTCACAACTAACAACTATCATTATCACTTTCACCTCACCTCGGCGCTAACTTTTACACCATGGGCCAACAGGAATGCTCAAATTTCAAGTGCGGATAAGGTGTTCGTGTTGTGTCTTGGCTCGTTCGTTAGTGCGAAAATGAGATTCAGATTACAACCTCACCAAATCACATTCAGTTGAACAAAATAAAATACAAGAAATAAAGACACCGAGAAATTTACGAGTTTTGGCAAAAACATGCCTACGTCCCCGGAGAGATATTGCTCTTCACCATGAATAATAGTATAAGTACACATGAGTTAAATCAACATAACGCAATCCTGAATCCCTTGCACACCCACTCATAGAATTTTCCCAAGAGCCTCATTCTATCCCAAGAGTTCTTTCACTAGAATACTTTTCACTCTAGTTCTCTTGATTTTCTCTTAACCCATGTTCAACCTTTCCCATGGGAGAGCCGGATGCTCTCCCCTTGGATGCTTCTATGATGCTTACCTTCCCACTTTCTAAGCATTACTAAATGCACAAATATTGCATCTAGTTATAGGCATACACTAGCAACTATGACAACAACCAAGACCAAAAAGTCTAAAGTTCACATGACATAATTATTGCTTAGCCTACCTAGCATGCACCAAAGTCTATACCCAGTCTATACCTAGTCTATAAAATACAACTTTTCTCCATTTGTCATTTAATGCATAGAAGAGAAAACATGCACAATTATGTGCAAGCAAACACAAAGTCAAGTCTTGCTTGCTTCCAACTTTGCTTGTGACAGTCACCATGTCTTCAATTGTTGTCATCACATGACTCATAATTACTCACAAATGTATAAGCCACACAACAGTTTGATAAAGTCGTAAATACCTTCAATGTTGGCTAGCTCCACATCGACATGCGACGAGAGCACTCGATTATCCTTGAAGTGGTAGTAGTTGTCAGATTCCGATGTCGTTACGACGATGCGCTTCAACCACTTCACCATCCGACCCCCGATAAACCAGGGTATTATGACTCGTACCGGAAACCCGTGATCCGGCGCCAAAAGCTCCCCGTTTTGCATTTATTCTAGGATAATATCTCTCAACGGGTTCATCGCCACCTCATTTCTCAAGCTCGTGTTGTACTTGGTTCCACTGCCACTGGGCAGGTCTTCGGCACCCTCAAAGCACACGTTGAGGGAGCCGTTCTTGTGGCTGCGGATCCTACACTGCTTAAGCACGTTGGGTAAGTCCAAAGTGGATAATATCGTGCTACAACGAAGTCGGTCTAGGATGTGACAGGATGGTATCAGAGCCACTATGCCGTGTGGTGCGAGTGTGTCGATAAGAACGTCGGGCCCCTAAGGGGGGGTGGATTGTAACATTCCACATCGACCAACGGAGATATAGTGATGTGCCTTATATGTACATGCCCACCTCTATAGCATGAGGCCTTTTGGGAACTCATTATTTTTAGATTCCATTGGAACTCCGAAGTTAAGCGAGTTTGGGCGAGAGCAATTCCAGGATGGGTGACCCACTGGGAAGTTGCTCATGAATTCCCAAAAACAAAATCTTGAAGGAATGGTAAGCCCAAAGCGGACAATATCGTGCTACGGCGGAGTCGGTCTGGGATGTGACACAATTTGTCTGCATTAGCATTATGTTCTGATCCTATGATTCATTCACGAATTAAACATCTAGATACGGACTTCCATTTTGTAAGGGAAAAGGTTCAAAGAAAATATCTACAAGTTCACTATGTACCAACTGAGCACCAGACTGCACATATCTTGACAAAAGCATTAAATGGTCCAGCCTTTCTCAGACATTGCTATAATCTCATACTAGGTTAACCCTGAGATTGAAGGGGGGGGGGGGGGGGGTAAGGACTAGTGATGTATGATAGCTTAGTATGTACCTTCATGCCATGTCCGCTCTAGTTTGTTACAAGTTAGTTGAGTTGTTAAGAATTAGTTAGTTTGTTAAGTGAGCTAGAATGAGAGAGAGTGTTGAGTCATCAATTGCTATATATAGCAACCTATGTGTAATAGCTTATTACCGTTACAAAGCAATAAACACAAGAACATTCAGTTTCTCTTTCTTCCTTTCATCTTCTTCTTCGACTTCCTTCTGCATTTTCTGTTTCCTTTCTTCATCAGCATAGCTCAATTCTTCTTCAATTTATAGTTGTTAAGAGTTTATTGCCATTAAAAATACTTGCGATTGCCAACATATTCGATGAGTAGGGGAAGGACACATTTTTTAAACCGTTAAAGATCGTATTCAAAAGGAATATGCGGATGGAAAGAAAAAAACTACGTTTTAGATTATTGAAAGTAGTATTGATAAATACAAAATAAAAAGTGTCGAAAGTTTGAATGAAAAATGATGTTGAAAGTTTGAATGAAAAATGAACTAAATCTTTGTGTCATGTTGATGAAATGAGGTTTTCCCACTCTAGTTTATAGTCATATCCGCAAATATGACTTAATAAATTGAATAAGACACCTAGTGATACATATAAGGATTCGAGGATACACTCTTTTGACACATTTTAACACTATTTTGTACGATTCACTCCTAAAATGACACCCATTTGTTATAAATGAAACAAACCTAATGTATGAGTTTGCACACGTCTGCATAAACTACATATAACTGCTTTTTTATTCTCCCATGTTGGGAAAAAATGAAATTATTGTTGGAATATCATGCATATATGGTTGTCACAGGAGTGAAGCTATGGACTGATGACATTGTGGATGGTCAAGTCTGTACGCACTCTAAGCAATCATCAGACTGACAATTAAGATTTGCCTATTTGAGGATCACCAGATCGTTCATAAGAAGTCTGAGACGGAGTTTTGATTCACTTGATCTGAGTTTTAAGGACATCATTAACATGGATAAAACTGCTTAGTGTATTTTCTGCATAAGTAGACACTAGACTGTCCCTGATTTGTTTCCTTGAGTGGATCTCTAACTCATTTTTTTTCCTTCTTTTTTTTTTTTGCAGTCGGGGCTACAGGGGATGCTGGTTCTGCAGTCAGTTACTTTGAATAGAGTGTTGAGTTTCTTTCAAAACTGCCAAGAAATGATAAGGAGTTATTACATCCAAACCGAACCTTTACTGTAATACTAATATCAGCATTATGTCGTACCCGTGCTTTGCCCTGATATAGTTATTTTTCCTTTTTCAATTTTGTATGTAGATAACGGATACACTTTCTATTTCACAATAAAATTGGAGATCTCAAAATATTATGACGAAGACCTTAAAACTGCTTGATGTTACTATTTCCAGTCATTGAATGTTCGACGTGATGTTGAGCATGATCCAAATGTTCCATCTCAGGTCAGCAACTATCTAATTTGCTTGTTCTCATTAGGTTTCTTTTGTGACTTACAGTATTTGTACGACTGCTTTACAGTTTCTCTTTGATAATTAATGTCATTTAAATGTGCTTTACAGTTTCTTTTGTGACTTACAGTATTTGTACGACTGCTATGACTTGCTAATGAATGCATGTTCGGCGGAATTTGGCCACAATACAAAAGAAGATGTTGAGAATAGCAGGTCATGCACCGGACATTCTAAGCTTTGTATTACCATTATCTTTTTGCTCATTGGCAATTCGTTTTGAGCTGAATATTCTTTTAAGTTTAACAAAAGGCCAATGCAAGAACTTAAACAGACTGACTTTTATTGCAAACGTGCGTTGTTAGACCTTCCCAAATGTCAACCTCTAACTCCTCTGGACTCTCTTGTTTCTAATGAAGGAAAATAAGTTAGCTTTGCTTCAATATCCAAATGAGCTTCTGCTCGGTAAGCAATAAAGTTCTGAGGGAGATTGATGTGGTGGCATTCAAGAACAAAATGTTTGGCGCTAGTGTTCCGTATTCCTTCACCAATCGATGCCTCCATAGACATACCACTCAGTTGTATATAAGAGTCATCTCCCTTTACTTACCTGATACGATTCGATTTCCGAAAGATTTTCTGATAGCTTCAGTACTGTATTGTTGTAATTTTGTTTAAATTCGATCAATATATTCAACAAATACAAGAATCTCCATGTATTGTATATTCTGTTTGCATTGGGCTTTGTGGTTGTTATCTGTATTGGGCTTCGTATTGAAAGTTCATTCTCCTTTGACCGGAAAACAGAAAAATGTTGAGTAGCAAAAGCATACAATAGATGGAGAAAAATTGAAACAACATGAAACTGATGCACCAAATAATAGCTTAGTGGTTGCTCATGCAACTTATATTTCTTGAGATTTCATTTTCCGAGGCATAACAGCTTGAAGGAAAACTCTTTTAATAGTGTGGTGGTGGGAGAGTTCCTAACTTTGGGCCTTCTTTCACTAGACCAAAAGTTAGTTGTTTACAGATTTGTTAAGTCGATCCCAAACCCATAATAGTTTATGATCGTAAACCTTATTTTGGTCACGTCATCAGTCCCCACCGTTTCACTAAGAAACTTCCATTTCATTTGTATAATGTTTCATGAGATTGGTTTACAAAGTTGATGCACTAAAGCCAGTAATGGTGCTTTCACTTACAAGGCTGTTCTGCACCTTTCTTGGTGGCGAAACTCATTCATCAAATAACAACGACAGAAGTGAGGACCAAGAAAGAAAAAAAGAGGATATATAAAAATTTTAAAGGAGAAAATGCTTTAATGTGGAGATAATGGAAAAAATGGAGAGAGTAAGGGAAACAAGAAATAAAAGAAAACAATGCACATGAAAAGAAACATTGTTTACTAGCAATTCAAGTTTATAATCTGCTTTTTTTTATTAATGCTAAACATATTGATAAAAAAAAAAGTTGGAATATATTGTTTATAATTTACTTTGTGGTTGATTCATAGAATTCTATGTTGATGATTGAAACCGTTCATATTATAAATCACTTTGTAATGATTATCTTTGCAAAAAATCAACTAAAAATAAGGTATTTTAGTTATTAACTATAGAAAATGGTTTGTAATTCTTTTTACTGGACCTATCCATCTGTTTTTATACTGTTCAATAACTAAAAGATCTCATATTTTACTAATTTTTTGCATAAATGATTATTACAAAGTAATTTATAATATGAACAGTTTCGTAAACCACCCAGTAGTCTTGAGGAACCAGTTAATATCGAAAAGTTTTTCTATGGCTTCTCCTTCATGTGAAGTGATTAATAAAATACAATGCATGAACTTGTTGACTCTTTTAAATGATTGCGCCATGAGGATATTCAAATTCTATCGAGGAAGAGTAGATAAAGTTACCGGCATAGAAAAATACCCAACAGCCAGATCAGATGCAGTATATCAACACACCAGAATTTGGAAGAGAGATATTTTGAAGGCGACAATCCTTGGCAGGAGCTGGACGCTCCGCATCCTTAGAGAAAATTTGTGAGTAATCTCTCATATCCCTAATCCTTTGGACCTTAGTTTTTGCTGTACGTACCAGAAATTCCATTAATGGATAATAAGAAAACTAGAAGACAATTTCAGATTTTAAAGGACACTTACAAGGACGATTTGCTCCATAACCTCATTCATGACATTGGGTTTCTGGCCATGTGATACAGATTTTGATCTAGAAGAGATCGATCAGGAGCTTTTCTTATCCTGCAGAGGTGAGTTGGACCAATCAAAATACATTAAAATCTAAATATCAATTAAAGCACACGAATACTTCAAAATTCAAAATAAATATACAGTGGAAGTGCACAAAAAGGAGAGGTTTCCTAGCAAATGCTTAGAAAGTAACAATGAGTTTTTACTTTAGGTTGACAACATCATAACAAGGAAGATCTCCTATAGTTTAGAAGCTTAGAGCTCATGGATTCGTCTGTTATTAAAAAGGAGGGTTGCAAAGTGATTTACAGATGTCAAAATAAAAAATAAAAAATCACTAAGCATTATTTAATATTCTAATAGTAATATCAAATAAATGGATCTTAAATCAATTCCTCATAAACAAAGTTCTCAAATTTCCTAATAGACTAAGGGGTGGTTTGGGAGTGAAGTGCTTAAAAAAAAAACATCCATGAAAAAAAGCTGTGAGGATTTTAGGTGTTTGGTAAACTGAAAAAAAAAAAGGTTTATTTTGGAAGCTGCTGTAAGAATAAGCTGAAATCAAATGAAAAAGTTGAAGCTGCTATTTGCAGCTTTGGAAAACTGGCATTTTTTCAAAGCACACGGAGCTATATGACTCTTTTAATGAAAAGACCCACTATCATATTGTTTTTTTTTTTTTTCCAAAAGCACTTTTACAAAAAAGTTTACCAAACACTCTGTTGATTTATTTCACAGCCGCTTATTCTCACAGCAGTTTTTTTTCAAAACACAACAATACCAAACCAGCCCTAAGTGTAGAAGTATGCACGGCCAAAAGTACATTCCCTAACTGTTACGGAATCAGGACACCACAATGGAAAGTCAAAATCATCAGGAAAAGCCGACATAGCAGGTGGAGAAAAGATAAGATATGAGAAAGTATTGCGGGACACGCAGAAAGATTAACATAATACGTACAAGTTGAAGGGGATTAACCCTAGATGACAGTTACTGGGTCACTTGTATTACTCTCTGAGAAAATGGTTGAGATGGGCCAAAAAAAGATCCGTAACTGCGGGATAATGAGAAAAAATTTAAAACACCTTTTAGAATTATCAGCTCGGTTGTTTTCAACACCACCTCCCTCTATTTGTCTGCCTTCGATGGCACTATCGTTCGAGGTGTTCCCTCGGACTTCTTCCACTTTTTGGCTGAGATCGAGACGATCGGAGCAAGCTGGGCGATCGGGACGGTTTCGTGGCTGGGTTCTGCGGAGTTGCTCGATTGGCTCTGGCGTTGGCTAGCGGATTGGTTCTGGGTTGATCAGGATAACTTTGAAGGCGGTGGATGCTGGGGTCAAGAATTGTCTTTTGCTTTCTCTAATGTTGGGCCCTTTTGTTGAGCTTTGTTGGGTTTGTTGGGAGGTCCATTTCTGTGTATGGTTCTTTTTCTATGTGGGCCTCTCTTTGTAATTTAGTGTTTGAAATAAAATTGTCTCCTTTTTTCGGAAAGGTTTTCCCAAAATTAAAAAATAAATAAATAAATAAAAAACTGTACTCGATGCAGTTTCAAATAAAAGTAAAATACCACTAAGAAAATCTATACACAACTCACAAAGCAACTATTTGGTTGAATTCGTTGCTTTACTATAATCCAAATAACATGATCAAATATTGTTCATCAATATAATGGTGGAAATGTGTTGAGCTCTTGCATGACGGCGTGTGTTTAAATTTCGTTGATGACTAATCTATCTAATCTAACAAAATCTATTGTTTGACAAAAAAAAAAAATATAGTTATACATAAGACTCAAAATGTCCTCGCAATGACAACAATAGATTTAAAACAGTTCAAACCCTCTAAAAGAAAAGGAGGATGAAATAAGTGGTAGCAAAGACCAATACCACCGTCCTCATGCTATAAAGAAATCTTGAGTTTTTTATCACATGAAAGAAGGCAGTTACAGTAGCCACTTACTTATCATAGGGTAGCTTCTTCTTTTCATAGGACTTGTCTCGAGAAGAACCACCATCCGTCTCAAACTTCTTTCTTTGTTGTTCTTTCAAACACTGTCTAAACTCAAGACGTGCCACTGTTACCTTGGTGCGCTTTGTATCTTCTTTTCCTTCCTCCGCTTCCCCGTATCTCACCCTGTCCTCAAAATCATCATATTCTTTGACTGATTGATGGAATTCCTATACGAAAGCAACCACCAGATAAACAGAAATACTAATGTGTTTCAATAAGAAGGAAAGGGAAAAAGAGCTTATGAATAAGAATAATCGACATGTCAACAGTAATCGCATATAGACACATATTAAAATTTTACTTACATCTCTACCATATCCCCGCATTTCTAAGTCGAATTAACAATTAACTATACTGGATACCTGGAACCTAACTTTAATCTGCTGGGCAGAAAATACCTATGCAAAATCAGTAATCACCGTCAATTCAAAGAATTACAAACGAGAAAACCGAAAGAATCCACAATTCAGATGCTTCAATATCATGCTAAAAATTGGAATTTCAGATTCCACATATTTTCAGCTGATAGCCCGAACCGATCAACTCACCAGAAAGTCCTTCCTTTCAACCTCAAAGATGATACAAGGCCGAAGAATTCGAAATGTATGGAAGTCGTTGCCGAGCCCTAACGTAATCGTCCGATCCCTTCAAATATCAAAACCTAATCAAAGCAGGTCAGAATTTGTGTTCTAATCAAACCATCATGATCAACATAACAGACTGACTGAAAGACATTTTAATAAAAAATAATATAAAAAAATGAAACCGCTCACATAGCTGTTCAGGTAGATAAATCCCAAATTTCAGAAAGAAAAAAAAAAAGAACTTTAATGAAAAGGATTTGGACTAAGTTTATTTTAATAAAAAATCATGCTATAAATTTTATTTAATGAAAAAGAATTAAATTTTAATGAAAAATCCTTAAATTTTAATAAAAAGGACAAAAAAACTTAATTTTTAACGAAAATGACACAATTTAAAAAAAAAACAAAAAACCTGACGCGCGTGCAATACATGTACACTATTTATAAAAATGAACACGGTTTATAAAACTGAACACTATTTATGAAACTGAACGGTACTATACTATTTATTGGTTCAATTTCATAAATAGTATCTAGTTTTTTGTCCACTTTCATAAAATGATGTCTAGTTCTTGATCATGTTTCATAAATAATGTCTAGTTATTAGGTCTAGTTTCATAAATAATGTATAGTAATTGGTACAATTTTATTAATAGTGTCTCTTTCTTGGTCCGGTTTCATAAATAGTGTCTACTTATTGGTTCACTTTCATAAATAGTGCCTAGTTCTTGGTCATAATTCATAAATATTGTCTAGTTCTTTCACTAGATCAAAAGTTAGTTGGTTATAGATTTGTTAATTTGATCCCTTATCCGTTATATTTTATGCGTGCAAACATTAGTATGGTCGTCGTGATCGGTCCCTACCGTTTCGCTAAGAAACTTCCATTTCATTTGTATAATGTTTCATGAGATTGGTTTACAAAGTTGATGCACTAAAGCCGGTAATGGTGCTTTCACTTGCAAGGCTGTTCTGCACTTTTCTTTTCTTTGTGGTGAAACTCATTCATCAAATAACAAAGACAAAAGAGAGAACCAAGAAAAAGAGAGGATTATATACAAATTTTAATGGAGAAAATGCTTAAAGGTGGGAGATAATGGAAAAAAAGGAGAGAATAAAGGAAACAAGAAATAAAAGAAAACAATGCACATGAACAGAAGCATTGTTTACTTGCAATTCAAGATTATAATCTGCTTTTTTTATTAATGCTAAAAATATTGATAAAAAAAAAGAGTTGGAATCTGTAGTTTATAATTTACTTTGTGATCGATTCACGGAATTTCGTGCTTATGATCGAAACTGTTCATATTATAAATCACTTTGTAATGATCATCTCTGCAAAAAAAATCAACTAAAAATAAGGTGTTTTAGTCATTAACTGTAGCAAACAGTTCGTAGTTCTTTTTACTAGACTCATCCATCTGTTTTTATACGGTTCAATGATTAAATAATCTCATATTTTACTAATTTTTTGCATAAATGATCATTACAAAGTGATTTATACCATGAACAATTTCGATCATAAACATAAAGTTTCGTAAATCAACCACGTAGCATTGAGAAACCAATTAATTTCAAAAAGTTTTTCTATGGCTTCTCCTTCATGTGAAGTGACTAATAAAATATAATGTATGATCCTGTTGACTCTTTTAAATGATTGCGCCATGAGGATATGCAAATTCTATCAAGGAAGAGTAGATAGAGTAGGTTGATATTTTATCATCTGTTTAGTCATTAATTTTGATTATTTACCAAAAATTTGAGTTAAAAATATGTGACAGTCGACCGGTCTAACCTTGTCATTCTCGATCGACTGACGTAGGATTTATATTTTAAATTCTATGAGTTTTACGCTCGCATCTAAAACCGAAAGTATGAGTTCACATGGTTCTAATATACACTGAAGAAAAAACGGCCGTGTTAAGGATGAGATTTAAAACCGAAAAAATATTTACAAAGTAGGTGTCAGTCCAAGGAACTGTTGGGTTACATCAAGGCTCATCCTTAAGTCCTTACATTTTTGCATTGGTAATTGTGGATGCAAATTTCTTCCTCCTTGATCTTGAACAAAATTACACCTACAAAACAATTAACACGTTTGGTTAAGGCCAAAAGCATCACGCGCCCACGATGAATGGGGGGGGATTTGGCCGAATAACCTCCGATGCCCAAATTAGAATTTAGAGAAAAAAATGTTTAGAGAGTTTTTAGAGTTTTGCAAAAGTGTGGACCTAGTCTTTCAAAGAAAATGAAGTCCTATTTATAGAGCATGGTTGGCCCTCTTTGGAAGAGAGAGTGGCCGGCCCTTGGATGTTTTTTTGGGGTGTAATGGTGATTTATGGAATTAATCCATTAATTAGCCTAGTTAATTTAATTTATATGAAAGGTTTTGAAGGTTATGGAATGATTTTCTTGTAGAGGATATGGAGTAAAGATGGATGAGATAAATTTGAACTTGTTACCTATTTTGGGCACTCTTGACTCGGTTGATGATGATTCTCCGCTGCTCGCGTGTAGGAAACCCGGTGTGTCTCGAGGGTAATTTTGTCCTCTTCACCTAAAAATCCACGTGTCGCCTCTTGATTATTTTTTGGCTCCACAATGCCCCCACACTTGTTGGGTTGCTCGTAGGAAAGGGCAGCAGGTGTAAAGATCTTCTTGCTCTAGGAAACTTAGGACTGCTTCTTATTTTGATGTAGATTCCCTCTTTAATATGAAATTAGATCCTTCTAGGAAAGGGAAATAAATTTCTCTCAAAACCTATTTAATTCCACCTTAACTGGGTTGTTAAATCAACTTTGGAGAGCGATTTATTCTACCCTACAAGAGAGAGAAAGCTTAGAGGATATTTGTTCCCCCTCCCCTAGCAATCTTCTACACTTGCCCATACAAAGGACCGTTTTTCGTTGCTTTCTTCGTCTTTTCCGCGCCACACCGTTGTAAGGAAAACTTAATTCTCCTTGTCGTTTTCTTGGGAGGTGCTGTCACAAGGCAGCCGTCGGGGTGGTGCGGCACGTCGGCTGGCAGGGGCCAGGAGTCGACTTGTCATAGGCCAAGAAAGTGGTGTGGCAGGGGCCATTGCTTGTGCTGCTCTGCTTGATTGAAGCCAAGGATTAGCTCGGCATGGGCCGAGGAAGTGGCGTGGCATGGGCAACGGTTTGGGTTGCCATGTCTGGGCTGCTTGCCAAAAATGAGGAAACTGTTTGAGTTTGATTTCTCAGCTGCCATAGATGGAACAGTCAAGGATAAAGCTGCCAAGATCGGAGCTACTGAAGATAAAGTGTCGGATGAGTGAACTGTTAAGTGCAAAAGTGGCTGCTACCCGTGACCATTTGATGCCTAGTTGATCTTCAAACATTCGATCTTTTAAGCTATGTGGCCTTCTCGCATTGGAGAGCTTACCTAGATAGGTGTCGGGGAATTAGTTTACCTTTTCGCACTGGAGAGCAATTAGTTTACCCTCTCGCACTGGAGAGCAATTAGTTTACCCTCTCGCACTGGAGAGCAATTAGATTATCCTCTCGCACTGGAGAGTATACCCATATGGGTGTCGGGGAATTGGTTTACCCTATCGCACTGGAGAGCAATTAGTTTATCCTTTCACACTGGAGAGCAAACCCATATGGGTGTCAGGGTATTGGTTTACCCTCTCGCACTGGAGAGCAATTAGTTTATCCTCTTACACTGGAGAGCAAACTTAGAAAGGGTTTTGAGTAGTTGTTGTGGACATCAGTTGAGCTAGGCTTATGACTAACTTCTTGAATCTTCATTGAGAATAAAGAAATAAATTAACTATGCTGGAAGGTAGAAACTGCATATCAAACTGGATAATCTTTGGCTTGCGAGGCCTTGTTCGTCGAGCTGCTTGAGACTTCAAACTTATTTGGAAAAGCCCAAACGGGGTTCAAGGGATGATGGAGACTTCCCCTGCTTATGTAGGCTGTTTCGTTGACCTATCAAGATACTTATCGCATCGACCCTAATTTGTCAGCTTCTTAACGTACTGCTTCCACTTTAGGCAGCCATTAGTAGTGTGACCTGGTCCTTGATGGAATGCGCAATACTTTGCATGATCCAGCCTGGTAAGATCGCCTTTCATGGGTGGCGAAAGTTCGAACCAAGGTTCGTTCTTGAACTTGCGGAGAAATTGGTCGATTGGAACTGTGAACTTGGTGAATGTTTCGGGCCTTGAGTCTTTTTGGTCGAGGAACGTTCCATGTGCTTCTTTTCTGACTCGTTTTTGTTAGACTGCTTGGCTTCGTCCCATAATGCATGCTTTTCTGCCAAAGCATATGAAGCTGCTAAGGTTAGTTCTTCTCCCATGATCAGTTTTCTGAATAAATTATGTTCGGTGGAAAGCCTATTTCTGAATGTTGCCGTTGTTATGTCCTAGTTGCAGCCAACAATCTTGGCCTTCTCAGCTTTAAACCTCTTGACATAGTCGCGAGTTGTCTCCCTAGGGTATTTTACGATGCTGAAGAGATGGTCGAATGTCCTTTTGATTGAGCGGTTAGACGAATACTCATTAATGAAAACAAAGGAAAGTTCGTTGAAACTCTGGATCGACTGCGGCGGCAGAGTGTGAAACCAATCTTGCGCCTCGCCTTGTAGAGTTATGGCAAAAATTTTGCACATAAGCGCGTCGTTTTTCCTGTAGAGGATCATGGTACTGCGGTAGTGCTTGAGATGTTAATCTGAATCTTCGTCTCCATTGTACGGAGTGAAGTGAGGCATAGTGAACCCGCGAGGTGGATCTGTCTGCTCGATCTCATTCGTGAATGGTGACATGCTTATGTTGGTCATGTCTCGTCAAAACGGATTGTCAACAGGCTCGTTACGTTGGAAATTGTGCAATCGTTCAGTTAGGAGCCTCTCAACTTCTTCTTGAATTTGCCTCTGCTGGGGCAGTGGAACTTTCAGCTGCCCCCGGTCGTGACCTATGGGTTTGGGCCACTCTTCCTTATGATCAACTCGTCTATGTCGCGACTGCGGTGCATGTGGCATGTTCCTGGCAGGCAAACAGGCTGCTCGCAGGCTGTCGGTTGAACTTGAGTCGATTGAGTGACTGCTTCTCTCCCTCTACCGTGCTGCCTACTCCAATGTGAGGTGGAGAATACTCATTGAGAGCCTAGTTGTGAATGAACACTTCGCCTGGAAGG